ACACTCTTTCCTATCTTTGAAGAAACAGTGCGAGACAACAAACTACTGGATTATGTTGAAGACCTGGTAATATAAAAATACTGCCTTGTTCGCGTTGGTTCGGACTGAGCATATTATAAAACGCTCTTTTTGTTTTGATTAAAAGCCCGAAATAGAAATTAATACAAAGCCTTAGCCACGGATAGCTTACTTCCACCAGAAAGTAAAAAAAGAATTTCCTGTCTTTGAAATAATTTCGTACTATATTCAACTTTCTCTAAACTAAAGTTTTAAAGTAGGTGCTACTAGAGCGAACGCAGTTTGTGCTAGAGACGATGCACTTAATCCCTAGTCCGAATARCATCAAGCTATGCTAATGTCTTGTTTTCCATTGTGTAAAAATGGTGTYCATAAAAGACAATGGTCATGCAAGTAWCKTTCATCTTCGACTCAGTTGCAGATTTTAGTAGTACAAATATGGACTATTATTGATTTTGCAATGCAATTTCACGTTTTAAATCCGTTAACTCCAACTACCTGCAATGTATAAAAATTRCATTAAACAATACTAAAGAATTGCTGATTACTTCACTCCACTCCATTTTCATTGGTTCAGATGGTGTCAGAGTCAAAGAATGACATAAATCACGTGTGATCTCGTTTTCTAGATCGGTCCAAACATCCGCCATATCAGGCAAGAGAAGGTCAACCTAAAGCTTCCTAAAGGGACTCGATTCCCTGTGAAGTGGCACCAGGATTGGGCTTTCTATCCTCATACGAACCARAAGATGCTAATGGCATGTGTGTCTATCGATGATACAACACGAGAAAATGGTATGWCTTTACAGTGGTTTGTTTGTTAGGTTTGTTATGGGTGAAGTTAAAAAACCCGTGAAATATATATGACACTGATGAACCTTAGTACCATCTAATTGCATTGATCTGCGTAGTCTACCCGGTTAACTGCATTTCTTTCAGGGTGTCTACAAGTTATACCAAAGTCACATAAAGGACCCTTATTCTCACACTTCAAAGATGGCGAATTTTCAGCCGCTATCAACGATGAACTATTCGATCCAAGCTCGACCGTCCATCTTGAAGTCCCATCAGGGGGAGTTAGCCTGCACCATGCCTTAACAGTCCATGGTTCTGCACCGAACAATACAAATCAGAAAAGGCGTTTATTAGTTTTCTTGTACTGCAACACTGATGCTTGGCCGTTGCTAGGGGTAACGTCCATGGAGTATGGAAATATAGGACCTGTAGATTGGGACCGGTTTACTTCTACCATCGTTCGCGGGGAAGCGACTCTGTTTCCTAAAATGGAATCGGTGCAAGTTTGTCTTCCTGTCCCGTTCGACAAACCTGGTTATGTTTTTGAAGAGAAAGTACCGATAACATCGTCACACGAAGATCCTAAGAATTGAACATGCCAGCCTCAAGGCTGATTACACTATTTGAAGCACTATTGTTTGATAATTGTCAAAATAGACCCCTTGCATGTGACGTCAAAACAGCTTCATCTGGAGGACAAAACAAAAGATTTTTATCCTCTTGGGAACTAGAATCTATTGTTTTGTCCTCCAGTTGGAGCTGCATTCCCATGAACTGCAAGGGGTCTATACAAAAGTTGCAGAGTTGCATCATCGACCCAGTCCCTTTACTGTACGTTGATCGATGTTAAGGTTTTATAGTTTTTTTACGAAGAATGAAGGAAATTGTCAGAAAACTAAAAACAATGTTGTTGAATAATAAAAACAATAGACCATGTTGAAATCTCGGCATTTTGCTGTGATTGTTGTCCTTTGTAAATATTRGAAGAAACTCAAAACTTCATACACTAGTTCGTTCTCGGGCGACTGTACTAATTGTTTTGCGAAGCATCCCGATATCCGCTGGGAAATATATATCACAGCATAATGCACTCAATACAACTACTCTGTTTAAATTCAAATACTTTTCACGTTAAATCGCGCATGTGTCATTCCAATCTTTTGTTTATCATATCATTTATATTGGAAACATGTGGGATCCGCTGTAGAAACAGGTATATATATAGACAACAGTATTTAGCACAATGGTCGAGTTTCGCGATCTCTCTTTCACGCTGTGTTAGCCTCAATTGTGTGCAAAATGTTCAGAAATTTTGATAAAAATCCCGGGGGGAGGAGGGGGAGGGATGGGGGGGTACTCCCATATCCTTACTATACGGGGACATGCCGCTGGCCAGGGTCTGGTTTTTGGGCTTGCTGTCTTAAGCAGGGTATGCATTTCAGCCCAAATTGTCTTAGACAGGCTCTACAATTTAGATAAAAGACCGATATAATTTTTTTTGTGCCTTGGACAGCGGAAACCGTTTTAAAAACATCTTTCAATTTGTACATTTTACGCAAAAGAATCATTTTAAAGACCTTAAACGACATTTCGCTCCTTAGCAGTTTTGTCTATTTTGACACAGGAAACCCAATGATTGATCGGGTGTCGTATAAAACTTAGTAAAATAGTCTTGACGTAATGTCTAATGGAGACATGGTCTAGTGGTAGAGTTTCTTTCTCTTCGAAAAAAAAAAGTAATTATAATTTGATTCATCGTTTCGAACTTCGTCTATACACCCTTTTAATAAGTCCCAAGGTATTGTGTTCTCCGCACTTGACGTCAAATTTATTCTTTTGAATTCCTTTTGTATTGTCAAAATTTCAAAAGAATAAATTTGACGTCAAGTGCGGAGAAATCAATACCTGGGGACTTATTAAAAGGGTGTATACAATCTGCAATCTCCGAGTTTTGTTGYCATTGGCAGCCTGTTTTTCCGATTTGTCTTGAACAGGGTATGGAGTATTTTCACTTTCTATTGTCTTAAACAGGGTCAGGGTTTTATACCGCTTGCGGCACGTACCTATMCCCCTAGTCCCCGGGTAAAAATCGCGAAAATTTCAAACTATTTCCATTGTCTTCTATACTCACGGATCTATTGCATTTGCACGGATTGTTCACGAATAAGAGAATTTATTAAATGGTTTTGAGGCTAACACAGCGTAAAAGAGATCGGCGAAAAGATGAAAATATATATTATATATTATAAAACATTCACTTATGAACTGAAAATAAAATGTCGCAATCTGGC